GCTTTTCCACTGACAGTGCTTTGCTACAAAAGCAGGAATTCTGGTCAGTTTAAGAATGTGCATTTCTCGATCAGCAGACCATAGGCAACAGCGAAGATATTAGCTTTCATGGTTTCTGTAGTGTAGTGGTTATCACGTTGCCTCACATGCAAAAGGTCCCTGGTTCGAGACCGGGAGAGACAAGCTGCCATTTAGAATTTTGCTTTAATAACTGACCGGTTGTCATCACTATAGGATCAGATCCTCTATGAACAGCCCAAAAGCGAGACCTTGAACTGACCAGAATTCCTGCTTTTGTAGCAAAGCAGATCAAATTTGCTTACAAAATGAAAGGGAATCTCTGGTTTTCCACAGAACGTGGAAGCCTGTCTCTTTTGATGCTCAGTAAGACTCTGAACTTGACTGGAAATTTTTCTGTAAAGTGTGGTCACCAAGTTCACCTATCAGCAAGAAGTCTCCGGCTCGAAAAAGGCTGGGGCGGTTTCCCTTCCATTGTGCTTTTGTAGCAAGGCAGATAACAGCTGCTTGCAAAATAACAAGGGAGTCTCTGCTTTTCACTGACTGTGGAAGCCTGACTCTTTCCTTGATCAAGAAGACAAGGGTAAGGATGCGTTTGACTCGAGGTTGCAACTTGTAATTCCCCACCTCCAAGCAGGAACATTACAGCAACGCACCCTCGACTTGAAATTGCCATTCGTCAACAATGGGAAGTCTTCTCATCTACCAGTGCCTTCCCTGTTCATCGGTGGTGTCAACATGACCGATTCAGAACTCACAAAGTGGCACTTACCTTAGTGCTGATTTGCTTTAGATCAGGGTTGTCCAGTCTTATCCAGAATGAGCCAGTGTGGCTGAAGGTTTTCATACTAACCAAGCAGAAGCCACACTTTAGTCTATTGAAAGCCAAGATCAGCAGATCCAACAATTGGAATCAGGTGTGGCTCCTGCTAGATTGGAACGAAAACCTGAAGATTGGACAACCCTGCTTAAGACCAATCAGCATATAGGCATATTTGGTTGTTAAATATAAAACATTGACTATTTAGAAAGCTGATAGCGGAAAATGTACACCTCTCGTCACAGTTTGCATGCTAGCTTGTCGCTAACAGAAGACAGACCCGATTTTCTCCCATTTTGCCCCTTGTTCACAGGTGAAACGTGGCCTGATGGATAATGATGTGCTTCAAACAGTAAAGAATCAGTAACAATACAACTGGGAAGCTGAAAGGTTTCTAAGAGGCCTGCATTGAAGCCTATGGCACACTGTATTGCCAACTAATTTTCAGGTAGGTCCTTCCTTCCTTTTGTTCCAAGTACCATAAAGTAGCACTTAAAGCTTCAATTTACACTGTGCATTGGCCGGGAATCGAACCCGGGTCAACTGCTTGGAAGGCAGCTATGCTCACCACTATACCACCAATGCCCACCACTATCTCACCAATGCCATGATGGGAAATCCCATTCTGGTGAATCCCAAAAGTTTAAGAATTTGCATTTCTCATCAGCAGACCATAGCTTTAATAACTGACGGTTGTCATCACTATAGGATCAGATCCTCTATGAACAGCCCGGCGAGACCTTGAACTGACCAGAATTCCTGCTTTTGTAGCAAAAGCAGATCAAATTTGCTTACAAAATGAAAGGGAATCTCTGGTTTTCCACGAAACGTGGAAGCCTGTCTCTTTTGTTGCTCAGTAAGACTCTGAACTTGACTGGAAATTTTTTCTACAAAGTGTGGTCACCAAGTTCACCTATCAGAGAAGTCTCCGCTCGAAAAAAGGCTGGGAGCGGTTTTCCTTCCATTGTGCTTTTGTAGCAAGGCAGATAACAGCTGCTTGCAAAATATCAGAGTCTCTGCTTTTCCACTGACTGTGCTTTGCTACAAAGCAGGAATTCTGGTCAGTTTAGAATAGCAAGGCAGATAACAGCTGCTTGCAAAATAACAGGGAGTCTCTGCTTTTCCACTGACTGTGGAAGCCTGACTCTTTCCTTGATCAAGAAGACAAGGGTAAGGATGCGTTTGACTCGAGGTTGCAACTTGTAATTCCCCACCTCCAAGCAGGAACATACAACGAAAACGCACCCTCGACTTGAAATTGCCATTCGTCAACAATGGGAAGTCTTCTCATCTACCAGTGCCTTCCCTGTTCATCGAGTGACGTTAACATGACCGGTTCAGAACTCAGAAAGTGGCACTTACCTTAGTGCTGATTTGCTTTAGATCACGGGTTTCCAGTATTATCCAGAATGAGCCAGTGTGGCTGAAGGTTTTCATACTAACCAAGCAGAAGCCACACTTTAGTCTGTTGAAGCTTATGGCACACTGTATTGCCAACTAATTTTCAGGTAGGTCCTTCCTTCCTTTTGTTCCAAGTACCATAAAGTAGCACTTAAAGCTTCAATTTACACTGTGCATTGGCCGGGAATC